TCTGACTGCACTTTATTAATTTGTGTTAGTGGATTTATTCTGAATAGTGTTGATCTCACTGACCACCCACTTTCCTCCAGGTCACACCCCCGAGCCCTCTTCCTGACATGTAGACTCTGCTCCATCCACCTGCTCCTGCACAGAAGAATCCCTCTTTTCATTTACAAAATATTATGCTAATCATTGCCTTTGGTTTTTTGTTTGTTTGTAAAACTGATTGAGTGCTATTTTCCCAGAAGTGTAACTGCAGAATTAAAAAGCCTCCAAGTCATTTTACCTTATGAAATGGGAATAGGGTGAAATAATTAGAAAGACTAACCAACTGTTCCCCACCCTGCTAACATTTACACTATTATATTTTAATATATGCAAGCAGTTTGTTGAGACTAGATAAGGCATGTAATACAATACATCCTAGAATTCTAAGATTGTTCTCTTTGTCTGAAGCAATGACACTAGCAGCAGAACAAGGAAGTTTTGCATAGATAATGATTTTTGAACAAATTAGGCTGAATAAAATCCCATTACTAAAGGTGCCTTTGAGATGTCAAGCTATTGTAAAGTGTGTCAGTAGATAAGGATGAATACTAAAATTTTCATTAGTGAATATTTAGTCAATAAAATTTCTGAATTTGATTCAGGCTTGGATAACTTATGAGGTCATGCAGGGCACTGAGAGACATCTGTGGCAAAAACTCAGAGGTGTCATTGCAGTTACCGGCACTGTATACTTTGCACTTGTGTGAGGTAATGTTGGATTGTGTAGTCTATACCTGGGATTGTCCATTGCTTCTATTTTAGTTTCAAACTTGTGTGTGTGTGTGTTATATTTGTAAACTGTTTATACTTTGTTTTAGTGAGGTGGTTTGAGAGAGGTTTTCTGCCCTGAAGATGGCATTAAAATACTGATAGAAGTCAGCATTGTGGATGTATTGAGGCATTAAAGAGACTGTGTTTAAGAAAGACTCTTCCCTGAAATCTATGAATGAAGGGTGGTATACAAATGAAACAAGCCCCATGATAAATTATATGTAGTTCCCAAACCTCAGCCAATCTAAGGTAGGAATTGGGGAGGGCGGCATTTAATGTGAAGCTATCTAGTCTGCACTTCTCAAATAAACTTGGTTACCTGAAAAGAGCTACACTATAAAGAGGGTGGGAATCAGAGGCCAGTCACAATTTCTAAGCTTTTGTACAAGCAGCAAATGGTATATGTGCAAGATGTTGGGATAGTTTTCAAACAGGATAATAGATTGCTGCCGTACGGTTGAGTGTCATGCATCAGAGCAGCATGTCTAGCCATTAAGGGCGGGGGAATCTTTTCTTTATCATGTACCGTAATTATCTGCTCATTCAGGTGCCTCAGGTGTTGGGCAGAAACAGCTGTAGGTCAAGCATATCTGTATGACAGTCTTCTTCAACATGGTACCTACAGTTGAGACTACAACACCCATCCTCTCCAGCTAGCATGGATAATGGTAAGGGATGATGGGAGTTGAAGTAGAAAGATTTGGAAGGTATCAGGTTGAGGATGGAGTTTGGAACATGGTATGATGAGCACGTTTCATTTGAAAACCTGCACACTAACTCAGAACTTGCTCTACAGTTCTGCCTTATCGTTTCAGCTTAGCACAGCTTACACGTGTTCTTAAGAGGCAACCCACTAGTCATATAAAATGTGACACCATGTATTCCATTCAAGCAAAGAACTCCTCCAGGTCTGTGGTTGGTAGGGCACCCAAGGCATGGCCTAGCAGAACTTTCAAAGGCTTCTTTAGACGCTTTGACCATTCACAATCAAGGCTGCTCTCACCTGAAGGGTCAGCACTGAGAAGAGAGAACAATGCTTTTGGTTGGCTAGTTGAACTATCTTTTTAAAAAGTAACTTCATACGACCACAGTTGGAATTCTTCCAATTGAAATCTCTGCAGATTGTAGGATGGCGAGATGAACACCTTTCCCTACCGCTTCACAGAATCTGAAATGATTGCAGATAGTGCAAGTGATGTTTTGATTTTATTTTTTTTCAGGTGCTGCTTTTCTGGAGTATTTTAAAAATCAAAAGTGGTGCCAGCTGAGCGAGTCACAAAAGAAACATTCAGTCTAAGGTAAGGCGCAAGATGCTGTGCATTCTCCGCTGGCTAATCCTTGAAATGGATTTATTAAAAAGGGGGGAAATACTTTAAAGTCTAGATCGACTGGCAGGCTTTGCCTGCTTTGGTAAGCAGAACTTCACATTCGGATAAAAGAGCACCTAGAGAAAAATGGATATGGGAAAAGAAATCCAGACTGAGGCTCTTTCACTAATACCTCATTCTGAATTCCTCTCTATATGTTCAGTCTAGCCATAAATGGTATAACGGATTTAATGGTCCATTCACTGAAGTGAATATAAAATTAATCCACCACTGACTGGAATAAAATCGGTACTATACATTGTAAGTCTAGAGAGTTAAAATATGGAGCTGTTGTTCCAGTTCTAAACCTATTTCTGTAGAGTAACCCACATTGGATTCCTAGGGCACTGAACTCCAGATTAAATGTCACTTGCGCTGAAGAAGTTCATTCTCACAGATTTCCATAGACAGATGTTAAAAATTTGTGTCTGGATCCAAAGAGTTACTTTAAGCGTTATCAAAAGTGTCACTTTTTATTTCCTTCATGTTTAATATATACACCCTTCCCATGACAAAAATAAGCTTTGAAAGTTACTTCAGATTCTAAAGTAGTTTGCCGTGTGACAGGCATAGGCAAACTCGGCCCTCCAGATGTTTTTGGACTACAACTCCCATTATCCCTAGCTAACAGGACCAGTGGTCAGGGGGTGATGGGAGTTGTAGTACAAAAACATCTGGAGGGCTGAGTTTGCCTATGCCTGCCATGTGACATAGAGCAGGGAGGATTATTGTTCACAAACCTGAATGGGGAATGGAGAGAGGTGCGAGTGTAGAAACTTTGGACTTTTGTGTGACTAGTATGTCAATTTTGATGGCACCACCTACTTTTTGCCTCTGGTCATGGCCAACACTGACATGCAGCTCCCAGAAAGTTGCATGTGAGGGATTGTGTGTCACTTGGGCTGAACAGGATATTGAAAAGTGGGTGAAAGGAAGGGTGAAATAACTAGTGCTTTATTTTGGTTAGAAGAAAACAGGTGCAAGTACTCACCATGAAGTTGTTACAGTAAGTGTCACACTTTTTAACAAAAAACAAACAAAAACCGTGCCGGTACTGTGTTCCCTTGAGTACCACCTGAAGATAAAAGCACTGTGAATACCCTAACCATTTACTGCTTTCTGCTTCCCCGTCCATGGTTCCTGCAGTTGAAGGCAACCTGTCGAAACAACCAAGGATGCTTTAGTCGAGATTCTTGCTTTGCAGCGGGTTGGACTACATGAACCATGGGGTCCCCTCTATGATTCTGTGCTATCCTTGTCTCTGCAAAATGCCATTTCAATTGCAGGGGGTTGCAATATTGGACGGGCATAGATTTCTTTAAAATGGAAAAGGAGGTGCTAGCTATATAGCTGTCACCCAACAGTTGGTTTCTGAGATGTATTTATTTTTGTCACTGCTAATGTGATGTGAAGTTGATTGTAAAAAAATCAGTAGCTATTAATAAAGATGTCACATGCACTGAAATGATTGATTTATTTTACTTCTGCATTAACCAATCTCTTTACAATAGAATATTATCTAATTTATATTTATTCAAGCATATCCAAATACCTGTATTATTCTCCTATGTGCTGTCATACGTTCCAGCAGATTATTTTGGTTTAGGTTACCTGCCATTAGTGTAGAAAAGAAAACCCCACTCATTCTCATATAAAAATTATTATTATTATTACTACTACTACTACTACTACTACTGAAGACAGTGGTGTATAGGAAAGTTTTCAATTTTTGATATTTTATTGTGTTTTAAATATTTTGTTGGGAGCTGCCCATAGTGGCAGATGGGCAGTATATAAATATAAATAATTAAAAACCGTTCCTTTTGGAATTAAGCATTGTCCAGACCCATGAAAATATTATTCAAACTTTTCTTACAAAACTCTTCAAAACCATAACAAAATAGAGTAAATGATACCTCCAAAATATCCATAAGATATATTGTGCTGTCCAGCACAGGCTCGGCTTCTTAGTAATAAAAGATAACTCCAAAAATCAAAACGGTGCCTCTCTCCCCCATTCCAGGCTGCCTTATAGCCTGCCTAAGGCTGTGCAGCTTCTGGGAGAGCTTTATTTACATCCTCACTCTACAGAGAGAACAAAGAGCCAGCCCACCACCATTGCAAGATGGTGAATTTGCAACTCAGTACCTTAATTACCTGATCCAAGGTTACAACACTCACATGTTAGCTAGCAGAAAACAACAATTAGTTAATTATCGACTCATCAAAACTCTGAGAGAGCTCTTCTTGCTGTTCTTCAGCTTCAGCGGAATCTTCCCATGTCAAACTTTTTCACTAAGACACACATATCCACATTTCAGTGTCAGTTAAACCAATTATACTTAACAGGGCAATGAACTTTGTTGGATACATCCCTAGAAACTTAGAAGAAGGCAACACAGCTGAAGAAATGCTGCCAAGTATTGGTGGGTGACTTGGATTGTATATGGCTCACCAATTCAGGCTATTAAATATTGTTGCAGGCCAGTGCTCATGGAGAAAAGACAAACATGACAACTATTTGACTTCATGGCAACGTTAAGTCATGTTTCTGTGAGGCCTAAGGGAAAAGACAAGTGAGGTCCTGTGGGATGGCTCAGTTGGTAGAGGACAAGACTCTTAATCTCAAGGTTGTGGGTTCTAGCTTCAGGTTGGGCAAAAGATTTCTGCACTGCAGGGTTTTGAGCTAGATGATACCCTATAAGTCTATGATTCTATTATTCTCCATTTGTTGTCAAGGAGAGTGCTACTTCATGTGTAGCAACTGTTGCTGACACTCAGGTGAAATCACAATTGGAACCCATTATATGTCTGAGATGCAGAGCTTTTGTGAAGCTGCAATAGTTGTAAAAGGCAAGAAAAAGAAAAGTTTTAAAGCATATTCAGAGAACAAGGGAAACAGCTGAAGAGTGTTTGCTTCACGAATACATGAGAATAACACAGTCCTTTATATGACTATTGAATCCCTTAAATTCAATGGGACTTACTCCCAGGTAAGTGGATATAGGACTCAAGCCTTACTTCTGATGGTTATATCCTGGTTTTCTTGGGTTCTCTGGTCAAGTATAACAAACACTAGCATGGAGTTTAGAACAAAGACACCCTAGAATCTATATTGCTTTTCCCACCTCCTCACTGAGATTGAGAGAATCAAATATTTTATGGTGTGTTTTTTTTACAACAGCAACAACACCTTTTCTCTTATAATGCCCAATAGTGAGTATGGGTAAGATTCTTATCCTACAATAATTACCAGTGAAAGAAGACTGGCAGATGAAATTGATGGATTATGCTGAGCTAGCGAAACTAACAGGGAAAATTCAGAACCAGCAAGATCGGAATTTTCTGAAAGATATTTGAAAGATAATTGTAAACAATTGACTTGCCTAGTAGGGTTGCAGGAAGTTTTGTAGGTTAACACTATAAATTATTGCAAAGAATAATTTTTATTTTGTTTATTTATGATAGGGATATAACAGTAATAATTAAAATAACAAATGCAATAATAGAGAGTAAGTTAGAAAACCACTAGTCGAGGAAGAGGGAAGTCTCAGGCTGTGATAGCCAGGAGTTGATTATGTTATACGAAAGTTGGATGTTGTGTTCTAAACCATGTGTAAAAACCAATAAAAATCATTATATATATATATTTATATATATAAAAGATTCTTATCCTACATAACTTGTTTCATTTCAGGTTTTCCAGGTACCTCTGCCCCCTGGTGGTCCAGTTATGTTATTGTCCACATAGGAGAGTCAGGGAAGACAAGCAGAGGACTCCTCTCAATTTTAATCAGCAAAGAAAGTTAAAATGAAGTAAAAGTTACAAGGGATCCAAGAGGCAAGTAACAAAAGGTACTAAGATATCGAACACTACATTTCTTTTTATTGTATTTCAAGGCTGCCTTATCAATCAAAATGCTTTTAGAAAAGGTTGGTGTCAAATTCATGTAAAACAACTTTTGACAGGTACATTTTTCATACATTAATGTGACATCCTATTCATGCACAGTCAGGTTTGCCAGGTCATTATTGGCAAAGTCTATTATCTATGTCTTTGTATTCTGCATTTAATCTATCCATGAACAAATGGATCATCAAGAAGGTATATGAGAATGGTAATTATTTCTGACACTGGTGCTTCTGTAAGGCACCCATGGTTCTGACTTTACTGCCCATTTATTTTACTTAAAACAGGCACAAACATTTATTCCTAAACTGGGTTGAAATGTTTCAGGATATCCAGTATATTTTTGTGTTCCCGTATGCTACCAAGTAAATGCTTTTAAAGCACAGAGAGAAGTGAAACAAGGTTGCATTCTGGCTCACAATCTTTTAGAGTTTTATATTAATGATTTGGTGTCATATTTAGCCATTGCAAATGCCTGACCTCCAGTAATTAGCAAGAGAACAATCTCAATCTTGATTCATGCATATGATTTAGTGCTCCTCTCTTTTCTGACTGGGCCTCAAACATCTCTCGGACGTATTCGGCACATACTTTCAACATGGAAGATGGAGCAAGTTTTAAATGCACTAATTGATTCCTTTCCTTTAGTGTTTTGAAATTTTATCAATAAATATTACAGTATAGTATTTATAGTAAATTCATACTAAATTTGTGAAGTCTTTAATGTGTCATAGGATGCTTTTATTGTTGTTTTCTGCTATAGCACAACACTGCTACTCTTCAGGATAATAAAATGATTGTAATAATAAGGATGGGTGCAGTGGATTGTAGCCATAAATTGCATGTTGCAGTAAGACTACAAATCAAAGCTGTGGTTCTTGCACAGCAGGGGGTTGGACCCTTGGGTTACCTTCCAAGTCTACAATTCTGTGGGGAGGCAGAACCAAGTTGTCATGCCATCTCTTGCTGGATATCCCTTTTCATAGTTGTGTCAATTGTTTTTTTCTTTTTCTTTTATGTCCTTTGATTTTTGCCAGAAAGGAAGCCAACACAATTCAACAAGGATATTCTTCCACATTAAAGGGTGCAGGGGAGGAGAAGAAGAAGAAGAAAATTCCTAATAAACTTCGAATTCAGCTGGCATCCATGTAAGGATGTTGATGTTCAGGGCCAAACAACTGGAGGCCTGTGCTAAACGAATCCCTAGAAAGTCCTTAGGGTACAATCCTGTAGAGGATTTTATCTCGGAGTAAACCCAGATGAATTTAAATAGGCTTCCTTCTGAGAAGGCATGCTGGGGTCTGTGCTATTAGCAGCAAGTAAGGACTGGTCCAGGGTCATCTGGAAACCAATGGCAGCCCCATCCAGCCAAGCTGGGCCTGCCTTGGGCTCCCAGGGCTGCACCCTTGGGAGGGGGTGCCTGGCAGAGGCGACAGTTTTGCATTGGGGTAGAGCATTTTTTACCAGAGCTGTGAAGTCCAGCCTCCCACCCTTCTTATTTATTTATTTGGGCGTCAATTCTTCTCCCATTGTTCTGACACCAGAGGACCTTGGAGGGGAGTTGTAGTCACATTTGTGGATGGTGCTCAGCATCTCTGCTTGTACAAACTTCCCAGGTTGATGCAAAGAGCTATGAAAGGTCTCTTCACCACCCAGCTAGGTAAATGTTTTGAGGGTTTTGTGTTTTTTTAGGAGTGAAACATAACAGTGAAACACTATTTTCTTGTCTGCCTCAGGCAGCAAAATGTATTGGGCCACACTGGCGTAAAGATGGAATATGGCAACAAAAGCACAACGTTGAGACAATAACAATATGTTCACAACTAGTTGGACAGTGGCAGAGGCGACTTTGAAAATGAGAGGCCATTTTTAATACTTAGAAAAATAAATGTGAAAACAACCCTGTTCTAGTTATGATTATTCAATTTTCATAGACGCTGAACATAATATATTCAACTTAAAATATATTGAAAAGAAGAGAAGACTCTGTTGAAAGACAGTTAAAAGGAGTTTAGGTTTAATATTCTGAAGACTTGATATATGTAAATGATATGGAGAGGAAAAGGACAATTTTCAAATTGATCATTTTGGCCAGGCAAGAAGACAGGTGAAGGAAATTATGTTATTTAAGTCATTGCCACAAAAGCTTAAGAACCTCAAACTGTTCTAAAATAGCTGGATAACCTTGGGGAGAAAAGCCTAATGTTGCATAATTGTATCTAAACTGAACAGTACTTTCTTGACACTCCATGAGTTCATATTTGTAAAAGAAAAATAATATTGGAAACAAGGAAAACTCTTTTGTGTTCACAGCATACATGTTCTTGACACAAAGAAATCACTTTGGATTAAGCATTGTATACTAATATCAGTTTATATGTAGCTCTGCTTTAATACTGTTTGCCCAGGCAGGCACATTATGCAACCCATGAGAGCAGCAAAATAACCAGACTGTACCATGGTGATGGGATGAAATCAGGGCAAATCTGTATTGACAGCAGCAGCAGGCAGGGCAAGGGTTGGCATGGCACTGGGTCCCAGGATCAGTTCATCATTCCACAAGCCCCAAGTTGATGGAATGGATCCACTGAGTTTGAATCGCTCCAAACCTGTACGATGGGAGCCAGCCAGTTGGCCAGGCTCTAACCCCAAGATAGGTGGGCAGGAAGCTCTCAAAGCAAAATGGCTGTAAGATCCAGGGAAAGCAGCCTTATATAAGCTTTCTCCTCTCCTCTTCAGCAAGGACTCATGGGACAACTTTTTCCTATGAGCCCATCACACAGAGAAGATACTGGACAAAATCTTGCCCAGTATTTTGCTGCAGTCTATGGGCCACAGCACCACCAGGCAAAGATGTCCCATGTTTATTGGGCACGGAACATGGCTTACCTTAGCTTTTGTGTGGGTGTGGGGTTTTTAAAAAATGCAAACAGCATATTCCCCTTTTCACCCACACCCAGATTTTCGATTCAGTGTTGCAAGTGTTGTATCATCCTAATTATATAGGAAAGCAGACAACTTCACAGCAGGCTTTTGTAACAAAGAAAACGGAGACCTACCCACACAGCAAGGAAGAGCATTTCAATCAGTTGAAAATGATGTATGCTGGACTATTGCAGAGACTCTGAGCCTGAGCAAGAAGGGCAGGTATGCATTTGTATTCCTCAGTGCTGTTTGCTTATTCTGTGTATGGCCCAATCTATTACCAATCTGTGTCTCCCTTGCCTTTGTTCATTCACAAATGCATTCTGCCACATTTCTGCATTTTCTTTTTTTAAAAAATAACAATACTGGAATATTTAGGAAGTGGAAAAGCCAGAGGAGTAACTTCTACTCCCTGCATTAGTCCAGGTGATGTGGATCAGGGCCATTGATATCGACGTTCACAAAGATTCTATTTCCTCAAGCATCTCTGATCCTGGACTGAATGAATGCCCATTTCCAAAGATTTTAACCCATGGACTTTAAAGCTACATGGGGATAGCATCAAGCAGTTTTTAATTTTTTTAAGCCAACTACATTATACTGTATCTATCCTATATAAATCAATCAAGGCCATGTCCTATGCAGCCTTGTTCATTATAGCATCATATCCCTGGTTCAATCCAGTTTAGCTGCCTAATCAACATTTTCTTCACTTTTTTCTTTTGGTAAATTACAGCTGGAACACAGGACTTTTTTCAATATATATTGTTCCAATGTGTTGAAAAGTCTATGTTCATTAGCACAAAGCCATAGTTTCTAGTAGTATGGGGGATAAACCCTTGTTTGTTTTCATCACAGGCAATGGGCATCCACTCTGCTCTTTATAGCCTGCTCTCTTTATAGCCTTCTGCAGTCTGAAGTGCTCAAAGTCAAAGGAAAAGCTTTGACTGAGTGGATTCTGTTGAGATAAAGAGCACAGCCCTTGTACTAGTGGTGTATTCACCAGAATTATCGTACTTTTCTGTGTATAAGACAATGTTTTTTTAACTCTAAAATAATCTTCAAAATCTGGGATCATCTTATACACGGATAGTATCTCTCCCCATTTTCTTCAATCGGAATCTCCAAAAATAGGGGACGTCTTATACATGGGGGTGTCTTATAGATGACAAAATACGGTAGCTCTTGATCCATCTTTAACAGGACAAAATAAGATGAAATGCTCATCACATATTTTTGACAAACACCTTTGTTCCATGTAGATATTCACTGCATATATGCAGGTTCAGCAGGTCTGTGACCACGTATTCAATAATTGTTTGATTGTCTATATTTGATGTGTGTGTGAGAGAGATCAAGACTTAGTCTGTTCTATACATTCAGTCTCCACACATCGTTCAAATGTGTGCACAGTAGTCTGTGCTTGTAGGCAGGAACTACAAGGAGTAAATGGAGTGCCCCACATATAGACAAGTCTTGTTTATTCATGTAAGCCTCTCTGGTCATTCAAAACAATGCACAGAAGTTAGGAGTATAGAGAGGATGCCCAGAAGTATGATCCCAACTCTCCTATATTCATAGAGATGTGCAATGGTGGTAACAGTCCTATGTCAAGCTGTTAATAGGGTATTAAATGTGAGGTGTTCTTGGAAGGCATGATTTATTGATTAGAGTCACATACGTAGAGTCATCCATCTCTTCAATTAAATGAATGTGTGCAAAGTGACTCATTTTATTGGAGATTAGTCACTCAGAAACATTTCCTGGAAATTTTTAAGAAGGTTTGCTGGTGATATCTGCTCTGCAGCGCTGGCCAATCTACTCAGTGCTGCTGTACAACGTATCAAATGTCTGTGGAGGTATTTAAGCACAGTTCCAATTATCAGAAATTATTAGAACAATCCTGTACAGAAGGTAAGAATTACTAATTCTATATTATGTAGAAAAGGGACATGCTTAAGGGAACCAAGCAAATGTTTGAAATGAAATTGGAACCAGGAATTTATCGGGTGCACAGCTCGTTTTCTTACTCTCTAGACTTTGTTAGCTTTCAACTGCCATGTTGGTTTCTGTCCATATTTCTGTGGCTCAGAAGAACATATGACGAACCTCTGCACAGAGGCACCAACCTGTGCCCAAGACTGAGGGGAGCCACCGTGTGTGACACGTGTTGTGCATCTGATGTCAAGAGGAGGCCAAGTGTGGAGAGTGGTGTGGCTTCTCTTTCATGCTCTGGAGGAGACAGCAACTGAAGCCACACTGTGCTTGACTTCATACTTCACCTCCTCTGCTCCCTCAATATTGAGGGGGGCTGGCCCCCTCCCAAGAGATATTTGGGGGGAGGGCAAATATACCTCAGCCCCATAGAGTTGGCACCCTTGCTGTTAGGTCAGACCAATGGCCCACCTAGTCCAGCATCCTGTTCTGACAGCTGCCAATCAGATGCCTATGGGAAGCCCGCAAGCAGGCTTCCAGCCCAAGTGCACTCTCCCCTCTCCACAAGAGCACTCTTCATCTCAGGTGAAACCGAATACCATATAATAATCATTTCAAAAACCATACAGTATCCCCGTAAAAATAGATCTGTGGTCTCTGTGCAAAGGATATTGGAAGCTGCTCACATTGAGAACCAACTTCTTAGTCATGGGCTGCAAAGTAGACATCTGAAAGATTAGCATGGTAGCAGAAAACATCAATGTCAAAACAGTGGAGGAAAAGAAAGAGTACTTTATGGCAGATAGTAATGCTCTGTGGATCTCTGGTTCAAACATGTCTATTGAGTTCTATCTCAGATGCCACAGAGGGATGAGAATTCAATTGCCGTAGGCAGGTATTACGTTGATTTATCTTAGCTTTTTGTGTAATTAAATGAAATTACACCCTCCATAAGGAACTGATTATAATTAATGATTATGGAATTCTGTATTTAATCTGTATGTCATTGACTGCAGTTATGAATCTTTTGTTCCTGGTAATTCCTGTCCATGACACCAAATTATTCCTCTTATGCGGGCTTGGTATATATAAAAGCCATTTGCAAGTGAAAACTCACTTCAGCAATTTCAGCGCAAGCCTGCTATTATCTTGCTCTTTAAGAGATTGTGTTTAGCATGGCATGAACTATTGGTTATTGCAAAATGGAGGATTAAAAGCAACAACAGCAGATGTGCCCATATGCCACCAATCTTTCGTATTGCTTGTCTGGTGACACTTTCTTTGGGCTTACAAATCCCATGAGAATAAAATAGCTTTGAAGCTTCATAATTGTGTTGCATTTTCAGTGGGTCAATAGAGCACACAGAGAAAGATAATGGTAGAGAGAGCCATTAAGATGAAACAGTCGCTATCACAGAGGCAGAACACAAACGGAATAGCTTATTTTTTTTATAGCTTTCTTGGGACTGCTCAAAAGCCAGGGAATTTTTTCAAAGAAGAGGAGTGCTGAATGGTTTATAGAGGTAACAGGTGAGCAAATCAACTTTAATTTTTATTCTGACCTTAAAGCAGAGACCAGAATGACAAATGGATAGATAGGATATATCTCTAAAGTTTAAGAGCCTACCTCCCACCTCCAAAAAAATAAAACAGCAACCCCAGATATAATAAGCTGAGGATCTACTACTGTGTTTTCTACAAACTCTAAAGTAATATTCCAGTAAGTTTGAGCCAGTACTATATGACGAATCCTGGGGCTGACAAAAGGATTAAGGTTACATTTTCAGGTCAAGGTAAGAAAGCTTACTTGAAGCTGTGTGGAAGCAGATGGATTGATGTTGTTTCTAAAGTTGATTTTCTACAGATTTCTATGGTATATCGGACAAGGTAACTTTGCCAATAGTCAAAAGGCAAAGCCACTGTCCATGCTAGTATAATGAAAACTATCCGACTGATTAGTCCATTAGCCTAATTAATGGGAAGACTTGATGGAATATATAATTAATTAATGTAAGATGATATTTGCTCATCTTGTGGGATCTTCCTTTCAACTATGAAAAGAAAGACCCCTTTGCAGAAGCCTAGCTAGAATCTGAACCATAACAACCTTATGGAACAGATAGGTGCTTGCCTTAAGTGGTGAGTGATGATTTTATCCCGAGTCTCCCTAGTCCTACTGTGGCACCTAGTCCTATTCTGAATTTGTTTTTAAGCATTCATGATAATTCCTAAAGTTAGGGTTTTATCCAGTGGTGCCTTGGAACTGAGGGAGGAAAGAAAGATGAAATCCAGATGAATGAGTGGAAGTTGACAAACACAATGTTGGATTTCACCCTCCATTGCGATGCGAAGATTTCTTACATTTAACAAGGTAGGTCTGAGTATCAAGCCTACCTAAAGGAAGGTCTTCCAATGAGAATACATTCCACCCTTAACCAAGCACCAATTTGGTGTGGGTGCCAAATTAGCAAGTCCCTCTCCCTTTTAGCATCTCTTTGTTGTCAGATAAACCCTGGCACAGCAAATCGTTTTTCTAGGTTTAAGGCTTCATAATGGAGGATTCTGCACAGTCAAGTTATGGCTTACTATCTCTGAATGACTCCCCCCCCCCTTTCTTTTAAAAAGAAATTTAATAATTTATACCAGTGATTGCCTTCCATGAGCTGGAATGCAATAAAACTCTGACTGAGAAAGTGGATTTAGTGCTCTTATCCCTGCTGATGTCTCAAATTTACACCACCATTTTCAGAATGTCTGAAGAGGGTTTGGGTGACACTTGATAGAAGTGTTTGATGTATGAAACAAACAAACAAAAAGCGATCAAAGGCTTAGCGAAACAGGAAAAAGGCAAACCACACTTCTTTGCCCTTTAGTTGCCTTTCTGTTTCCACCCACATTTCCTTAATCTACTTACCCATTATATTTTAAAGCTTAATTTTCTAATGTTCTATTCTTTCGAGAAAGCACGTTTTGCACTGAGCGCATTGGGTGTACAGCTTTGAATTCTCACAATGCCATTCAAAAGGGAGTGCAGAAATTTGATTTCATTTCCTGTCATGCTCAAAAATAATCACCAATTTCCATTTCATGGTTTGCTTTCACGTTTCCTTGACTGAGAGCTACGTTTCACCACCTCCGTTTGCAAGTGCTTGCAATTTTCTTATCTTAAATTTCCCATGCTCTAATCTCCTTTGTTTGTTTCATCAATGGCATTTTACACTGTAATCTGCATAGAATCATGCGGACCTGATTCCTATTGTGTGTGGTTATATTGTAGTTAACACTTACACGATACTTCACAGCAGCTGGTTCTCATTGTGCATCCTTTTGGTGTGAATCTGAATGATCATCCACCCATTCATGCAAGTAGAAAGATGTTTGCTGTAAATGTTGTTGTTTTTGTTTTGAAGGGAGAGGACAAAAGCAATTTTCTTTTGGCTGTTTTAGGATGAAAGCACTTCTGATTTCAATGTAGTACATCATAAGAAAAGGGTCGCGGGTTGGATTTGTGATAATATTGTTACATACGCCACTCTAATCTCAGAGTGGTGTGAGATTCTAGGGGTAAGGATTTGATGAGTGCCTTGGGTCTTTGAACTCCATCCCACCAATTCTGCTGATCCCAGCAGAATGTTCTAATGGCCAAATGAGCTGAGCCACAAATGCATCCTTAGAGCACCACAAAAATAGGGGGAAAGATACAAAATGATAAATAACTGACAGCCGATGAACAGTAACAGGGTCACATGTCAGGAATCAAAACTGAAAAGATAAAAAGAAAAAGGGGTTGCATTACCTACACTTTTAAATTATACATTGTGCATCAAGGCCCCGCACAATGATGAATAAAACACGTGGACACCAGTATTTTAGGTTAATGGGTGAAAAAAGGCCACAACTTTTCTTGGGTACAGAATGTGAGTGGTATTGGCTTTAGGCATTGGGCCCGAAGCGACTAGATCTGACTCCCTCCCACCCTGCAGGAAGTCTCACAAGGGTTAACCACATGTAGGGGGAGCCCTGTTGATGTACATAAACTCGGAGCTCCCCCAGGGTCACCAGAAAGGTCATGCCATGGCACTAGTAGCCACCACCCGGGCTTCGGACAGGAACCACAACCCCCAGATTCCTTTAATGGGGAGGGGTAGGTGATGGCCACAACTTCCCCCCCAAAATTATAAATAACTGACAGCTGATGAGCAGTAACAGTGTCACATCATGTATCAAAACTGAAACGATAAAAAGGAAAAGAAAGGTTAAAGGGGTACATTACCTACACTTTTAAATTATACATTGTAAAACAACTCACTAGAGTCCTCTTAAATTAATAGGTGAAAAGCTGCTACAATTCTAAGTGTCCTCCAAAGGATAAGCTTTTTTTTGTACCATGAATAAGAAAGCCAACCTCATCTCAGCAAAGAGGCCGGAAGATAATGGTAATCAGCTAAAACATCTCAAGGATTTTCTGAACTTAAGAATGATTGAGCAGTAAAAAAAGTAACAGCCTTTCCACAAAAACTTATCAGGATTTACCTAATGTAATCTAAGCAAATAATCTGAATTTATATCAGGCACACACTATTAAAGATCCATAGGGAAAATATATTGCATGTGACATTTGAGGATAAGGAAGAAAAAAACTGTTAATGCATTAGATATAAGGACTAGAATGCACGAAGGGAATAATTTGTAATCTACTATACAGCAAAAATTCAAAATATTAATAGAATTTGGCTTGAAAACCAAGTCTTGGCTCAAGCATGTAGTACCAGTCTATCAATGTTAATTCTAAAGTGGGTCTTATTGTGTTTAATGGGTCTTGCTTCTTAGTAAGTGAGATTAAGATTTCATCCTATGACTCCCTATGATAGCCAGTTGGGGCTTTGGAAAAGATTATAGCCAGTCAATTGCTTGGTGGAAAGCACCATATTTTGCCTGAAAAGGAGATAACCTATTAGTGGTGGCTGGTGCCCACTGAAATTGATGTGGTGGATTGCAGTGAGCCCAAATAATAGGTGTAGCCAGAGACAATGACAGGTAGACCCAGCTGGTTCTCATTTTGTCTCCTCCTTCCTGAGTGCTACAAGAACAAACTTAGTTTTGATTGGGTAGTGCCTCACTTACCTTTATAGACCAACCTTCACAGTGGAAAGTAAATCCAGAAAAAGATTACCATTGCAATTTGAAATACAAGAGACCCCTTCCTCTTGGTATCCAGCCAGTTTTGAAGACCCGTTTATACATACATTCCCTTGATCTCTTAACCTGAATCTCCTGTTTGAATGGGATTGCTTTTTTGCATATTTCAATTATGCCTGGATGCATTTTAATGTTTGGGTCATTGGTTTTTATACTTGTAAACCACTTAGTCTAGTTGGGTATTAGGCATTACATAAATGAATAATGCAATTTGGGATACTATGTTAAAATGGTAGTGTGCATGAACACATGTTTGCATGAATGAAACCGAGGGGCCTGGTTTAGGAGGAAATGCAGATTCCTATGTATACCACAAAGCAAACAAAATGTAGTTAAGGATATGCTAGTCAGATTTGCATCTCCAGCTGCAATTTAAAAAATACATTTAAAAACCCTATGTAGTAGAAACAAGAGCCACAGCACAGATCTATGAACTGGAGTTTCAGGATCTGTTTTAACCATTCATATTGTAACGGGAGTTCAAGCCATATCCTTCAGCTATGATGGTATCAAAAATGCATCCCTGCAGATTTCACAGGGTAATGTCATACTCCCAGATATTATATCATTGGCATCATTATCAACATCTGATTGTTTACCATAGACACAGACTCCTATTGCAAGATTTCAAAAGCAAGGATGAGCCTATAGACAGGGGTTTTCCCCCCCAGCCAGGACTCACTGGAATTCAGTTTTGGCACCTCTCTGGTAGGCGCCATTGCCATTCTAAGAATGAAGGTGTTCATGGTGAGTTCTGGCACCTCTTTTTCTAGAAGAATGGCACTGCCTATAGACTACACGCACTCACAAAGAAGCAAAATGGAAAGGCTCGTGTTGATGCAGTCATGCACAGAAACACATTTTCAACAAAATTATATGCAGTGTTTGTATGTGCACAGTCATGTGCACATTACTCCTGGGGAAGAGAAAAATCCAAAGCAAAGCAAATCTATGGAAAGTATAATCTGCACAAACATAGCAGTCTCTCCAGATTTAGGAAATCTTACCGAAAATCATGCTTGATAACTGATACACTAGTGATGCTTTATAAACAAAAATACAGGAAAACAATTAAATGGAATTTCATAAGCATCTTTCATATAGTCCAAACATTATGCAAATGTCATATTCTGTTTTGAAATAGATTCAAACTTGCTGTGAAATTTTTAGGATCACCTCCCCCCCCCAAAAAAGCAGCTTTTTTTTGTTAGTGTCACCCAAGTTCTGTGCTTGATAAAGAGGCTGACATCTTTCTTATCCATGCAATGTGCTTCCTTTAGAAATGGTATGTTGTGGGTTGACACAAGTCATACCACGTTAATGAAAAGGTCATTGTTCGGTTGTACAATCTACATGATGTGACATAACTTTTTAA